CACTGTCAGGGTAATGAATTCTGCAAGGGTTTGAAGCACCTGAGCTTGAGGAAGTCCTCGTGTCATGTGTCTGGGAGTGACAACCCCCAGTGGTTAATTACTGCCATGGATGAGAGTTGAGCTGATAGCAAAATGAGATAATTTCATTAGTAGTTAAGTGTGAAGTTAATTGGACTCACGTTTACACACATTATTATACAAAGACACACTTGGAAATGCTCTTCACTGTTTTTTTTTTTTTTTTTCTAAAAAAAAAAGATGAGTAAAATGAAGAATGCTTCTGAACCGTTCCCGTATTTTTTTCTCACTGTGGTTTGGAGACAAGAGGCCTTTCCTGCTGCACATTGCTGGACTCTAGTATTGTGTGCAGGAGCAGAGCATTTGCCAATGTCTGAGTGCTGCTTACCATGCGTGCTTGGAGGGGGTGTTGCTGAGCTCTCCTGCTGCTGGTTGCAAAATAATTTCTTTTATGGAAGAAAATTACTTATTTGCACTTTTTCTGAGGAATGATAATTTGCTCTCAGTGCAAGCAAGCTGTCAGCTGCTGGTGAATGGAAGGACGGACATTCATTGCATATCTTCTGTGTACAGAGCCAAGCACTTTGACACATAGCTGTGGCCTCTGGTCCCACAGTGCCAGATGATATTATTATTATTAAGCATCATTATATTCTAGTTTCTGGAGTAATGCAGAATGAATTCCATCAGGAATATGCCTCAAACTCAAACTGATGAGCAACTTTAGCAAGCTCAAGATGGTCACATACTTACATACTTGTCTGTAAAAGAGGCACTTGCTCTGCTGCCAGCCAGGGTGCGTGCACCCACCCCACCTCATGGCATGCCATTGCTGCACAGCTTTGTGGCCCTCAGCCCCTCTCCAGATGGGTGTACTTTCATTTCTTGGTGGAAAGTCACAAGGCAATGCTGGTAAGCATATGCTGCAGCCTGCCTGCTGGAGTTTAGGCTGGTGTGCTCCTTGTTGTAAAGCACTTTGGTGGGAAAAGCATTTCAAATGTCACGTTGCTTAGAATGCTGCAGGGCTGCTAATCCTTCAGACTCAATCAAGAAATGGTTAACTCTTTCTCCCTTGGAGAGATCGAAAAGACAAGGCTTGGAGACAGAAAGTGGCTTGTCAGTACTGAAAACTGAAAATGGGCTCCTCACCCTCATCTCCGGGATGAAGGCTTCCTGAGTCATCCTAATCTCAGGTTTCCTCTACTCTGCAGTTTTGTGTTTCCAAGAGGGCTTATTTGACTGTATGGTGCTGTGGCAAGGGTTGTTGAGTGCAGTTAGTCCTGTATTCATGTTTGTTGTCCATACATCACTTCTAGGGTTGCTATTGTTTTAATCCTATGCCCATAAACCTACTTCAAGTCAGTCTCTGGTTTAATTGCAGTCCTAGTGGATGGTGACACTTTGCTGTTGGGCTTGCAGACGTAGGATATTGTATGACAGTGGTATACTGTGTGCCGCCAGTGGCATGCCACACTCGTGCAAAAGCATCCCATCTCCTCAGCATCATGCCTAGATGCTGTATGCTCCCCTGAGCTTCCAGAATATGTTGACTCAAGATGAAGATTCAAAGTCCTTCTAGGCTTTGCAGCCTGGACCTGGGGTATCCAAAGTGCTGCTGGAAGTCAAGCAATAATGTGTTACTCCTCTGGGGTGGTGCAAAGTGCCTGTGAAAAGGTAAGGATCATGTGTGGATGAGACAGAACTTCCTTGGGACCTGGGCATGTTGAGGGAAAGGACATACTTCCCACCCTAGTAATGATGTTGCCAGCCTCACCACTTCCCACTCGAAGAACATATCTGTACCCTGCCTTCATGGGGGGGCTGGATGAGCAAGGCCCTGGCGTAGGACAGGTCAGACGCATGCTGGTGAAGCACATCTTAAAGGTACTCCCTCGTGACTTGGGTAAGCTCAGTGAGGACACCTGAAGGATATGTCAGGGTCTCCTGCGGACTGAAGTGGCATGAGAGGCAGTGAGCCAGGGCCCCTGGATGTGGCACACTCTCTTGAATATTCATCCTCAAAGGTAACATGGATAGAGTCATTTCATGGCCCTCAGGACTATCTCCTTTGCCAGGAAGGTCAGAAACAGTTAGTTACCTGCAAAACGTGAACAGGTATTTGTCAGCTCATCGATTATCTAGTTCAGGTGCCCATCCTGTTTGCAGTAGGAAGAAGTGAGCTGTGTGTGCTCCCTCTGTCTCTGACAGTGACATACTGTCAGCCCCACGTGCCGTGACACGAGGTTATCTCCCCATCCCCAGCGAGCATGGTGAGCTGCAGGAACTGCTGGTGCTTTAAGTGCCAGTATTATAAACTCTGCAGGCTTCTACTGTCTGTTTTGCATCCCTTTGTTAATGGATTTCCTGAGATAGTGGAGATGGAGCCTAAGCATATGGAGCCCATTGTTTTGCTCTTTTCTTTCATTCTCACTCTCAATTTTAGGGAAAAATCAGTGCTGGTGTCACCAGCCAGTGGAGTGCGAGTAGTTGCTTGCTGGATAACAGGCTGCCATTCTGCCTTTTATTTTTTTACATAAATCTGGCATAAAATTTGCAACACACGGTCACATGAGGATTACAGGTAATTGTTTCCTCGATAAACTTTTTCCTTGATAAACTTTTAATTGAGCTGTGGGCCAGCTGTGACTGCAGGGGTGGGAGACCCATCGTCGTGCCTGGCATGCTGACGGCAGGCCAGCAGATACCCCTGCAGGTATGGGTAGCAATGGGGCTGCCAGCCTCTCCATGGGCAAACTCAGCGACGTATTTGAGCACCTGAAGCCTTGGATAGTGACCTCCTTGTGCTGGCGGCAATTGTCGCTGGAAAATCCTGGTAGGCTCTGCTATAGCTGAGCTTCTCTTAAGGCTGGGGGTGGCAGCTGAGCTGCTCTGTCCTGCAGGATGTAAAGACAGGAGGGAGGAAGCTCTGCCTCCAGGCCATCCTTGCCCTGCCTCCAAATTTAGCCATCTAATAGCCTTTAGAAGAGACCAGGCCAAAGGAACTCGGGAATAAGTGTGTGCTGAAGTCTCTGTGGCCCACTACTAAAATGCAGATGTGCTTTGCTCTTGTACAGTATGGACATCCTAGTATGGATGCTGCTTCTTGCCCTCATTTTGTGCTAGGGTTGTTGATGTTTCTCTGAAACTAATTATTTGAGCACAATTGAAGCTTGCCTGTATTTGGGGAAAATCTCACTGAGGGCAATGATGCTCTGTTCTCTTTTTTTTGGGTAAGCGTGTCAGATGAATCAAGAGGACAAGACAGGGTTGCAGCACTTGCAGCTGTTCCCTTGGTCCTTGCCAGCTTTTCCTTGCAGAAAATGAGCACTGGGTCAGTGTGTGAGACGAGAAGGGAACCTCACCTTTGGACATGTGCTGCCAGAGGACTGGATACCTTTGGAAAACGAGTCTTCTGCTGTTTTGTGGTGATAGAAAGGGGAGCGGTAGGGAAGAGCAGTGGCAGCTCTTCTGGGACCCATGTTGGTGGGGTGGCAAGCAGGGGAGATCACTGTTAACCTCGCACTGCCTGCGAGTTGAGAGGGTGAAGTTGCCGTCCTCTGACCACATTTATGGAGACCATAGATACTTTCACGTTCCCCAGACTGCAGAGATAACATAATGTTTAATTTTTACCTGTGTTTTCAATCTCTACAAGCTCTAAATATGTTTTAAAAATGACTCGTAAAATTAGATGCCTATGCTAAACAATTTGAACATGAAAATGTGTACATTTATTTTTTTTCAGGGATGTTAAAATCGGGAAAAAACTCGTATTTCTCATCGATCTGAGATAACCACATTTTAACGAAGGAACTGTCAGTCGGTGATTTTTGCTGAGCAGGCTGTTTTGAGCCTGCTTTGTGCTAATAGCATCTCTGATCTTGCTGGTTGTCACCTGTGTGGTCCCTTCCATGCACGAGTTTGAGGTGTGGGAGCACCAAGGTGACACGTGAGCCATGCAGGCAGGGGGAGAATGGATCCCCTGTCCTTCACCTGACTGGAGAGGGGTGATTCATGGGAACATCTCTTTCACCTTGTGGGCTCCTGATCTAATTTTGGCACAACAAACTACAGCAAATTTCCTTGAAATCTCACTGCATCAGCTTCAGCCTGTGGAGCAGGATATCCTGGCACCTGCACCATGGGAGGCAGGGTCTGGACAGGGTCTGGACATTGCTTGTGTAGTGTCTGTGGTGTGGAATCCAGTGTGTACCTCTTGTCTTAGCTCAGCAGGCAGCCGAATGTCCTAGGTTGGTGTTCAGAGCTGTGTCTGGAGCTGTGCTTGAAGTGAGGGCACCTCAGCACAGTGATCGAGGGGCAGAATGGGCTGGGGACATCCCACTGCCTTTCTGTGGAAGACCTGAGGAGATTTGAATAAGAAGGCACGTTTCTGTAGTCTAAGTAAAGAGTGCCCTGTCAGGCTGTGTATGTGAATCTGACTCCCCTTTTTCTGGAATAACAGCCAGTTTTTTTTGAACTGGCTTTAGGCCTCAATGTGTGTGTGTGTTTTTTTTTTTCTCCTTTCTTAAACTGCCTTAATAAGAGATGCAAATAATATCCTGCTTTGTATTTAGGTCTCTGCAAGCCATCAGACCATGTGGTGTGATTTCCTAGAGAGTTTTCTGGGAAAGTGTCATTAAAATCAGTGTTATTTCACATTTTGCTGTTTCTGATTTTACAAACCTGAACTTTGGATAAACTTGGGAATAAAGGGAAAGCAGCTGCAGTTGAAACTGGTGCCTTTTGCTCCCTGCAGTGTTCATCTCTTCCCCTTTCCATCTCTCTTTTTGTCAGAGTGTTATGGCAGCTTACAGAGGAAGGGAAATTGTGTCTTCTCCCTCCGCCAGGCTAAAAATCCCACTCTGGTACTTGCAGAGTAGTTATGACAAATGCATGGCTGTTTTCACAGTGTTTGGGGAGATGTAAAACCACGTCCACTGGTCGTGATGCTCACGTGGTGATTTGTTGGTTTGATTCCTCAGGTCGTGAGCTGGCAAGCACAACCCTCCCAGGATACCCTCCACATGTCCCCCCTGCCGGACAGGGCAGCTACTCAGCTCCGGCGCTGACAGGAATGGTGCCTGGTGAGTTTTCAAAAAAAAAATAAATGGGGGGGAGGAGGGGGTGGGAGGCGGGGAAGACAGCATTTCAGAAAGAAACCGTGGCACTTTCTGGATGCTCTCCACTGAGGCAACCATGAGACAGAAATCACAGCACTGGAGAGGGAAGAGATGTAACGCAGCCCTAAGTGAAGGAGCAGACTTCCCAGTAAGAGTAAGGTCTGCGTAAGCCTAACATAATCTGCATAATCCTCTCTTACTGTTGGCTGTGGATCTGCATGCAGTGCTCAATAGGATGGTGATATTGGGGTGCTGGCAGTGGGCAGCTGGTGGGTGTGTGGTGGTGGGAAGGCTGAGTTGGGCTAACTCCTGCCAAAGCACTGGGGATCAGATACTGCTGGAAATCAGTGTGGTTATTTAGGCTTGAAAGAAACAAAGGGATTTGTCCCCAAGCTCTGCTGCCTTTGGTCTGGACGTGACAGACATTGCTGTCTACAAGGGTAAGAAGTATCTTGAGGCTCAAATATATATGTTAAAAGTAATGAATCTGGTCCCTAAGTATTGTATAGCTTGAAAATTAATGATAAATTGGGGATTATCTTTCTTCCCCCTACTGCTTTCTAAGCCTTTAAGGTCATATGAGTTAGACACTTCGGAGTCAGCAAGGTCAGACAATTATTGAAGAAAATCCCCCAAAGTGGAATTTCATATGTAATCACATTGCTCCAGGAGGTGGTGATTTAGAAAACAATACTGTTAATAAGAAAGTAGAAGTTGATGATAGTTATATGATGACCAGGCTTTTGGGATTAGTCTTTTTGCCCAGAATTGATTATATTCTGTAAAATGTTTTCCAGCAGATCACTGAGAAATTAAGAAAAATAATCTAATCAGCCACGTTATTTTTGTGTTAGAGTTAGAAACTGGCTATGGATGCTAGATCAGAGGTTAAGTTGAAACAATTTTTACCCATAAAATGTGGTCTTGGAGAGACTACAGAGGATGAAAGACTGCAGGTGTTTTTTTTTAAATAAAAAGATAAAAAGTGAACATCTGAAAGAAAGTCTTGTTTGGAAAGTGTTAGGTTAGACTTCCTGTTTTACGCTATTTCTCAAAGACACACAGCTATTAGAAAGCTTTTTCTGTCCTCAGCTTGGCTGCTCTTACTTCAGTGGCATTGCCAGCTGCTTAAATCACCTGAGGATTCAATTTTACATTAACTTTTTAGCATGACTGAAAACTGTAGTTACACTTCAGAGCATTTGGAGTATGAGGATCAGTTAATCATGTGTGTGCCAGGCTGGTCATGAAGACAGAGGTACGAATTCTGTGCCTGAACCTGCTGTTGAACACAAAGTTTAGAGATGGCAATTTAGAGGCTTTTAGAAACCTTGTGGAAATCTGTCATCTTCCTCCAGACCGCCTTTCACTACAAACTTAATTTTCTTTTATGACAAGATCACCCATCTAGTTGACCAAAGGAAGCCAGTTGATGCAATCTTTCTGGATTTCAGTAAAGCTTTCAATGCTGTCTCTCACAGTATCTGTCTGAACAAAATGACCAGAATACAGTTAGATAAAAGCATAGTAAGATGGGTGAACAATTGGCTGACAGGTGAGACCCAGAGGGCTCTTGTAAATGGGGTTACATCAGGCTGGTGATCTATCACTAGCGGGGTTCCCCAGGGCTCCATTTTAGGACCGGTCCTCTTCAGTGTTTTCATAAACAATCTGGATGAAGGGCTTGAAGGATTTTTGAGCAAGTTCGCAGACGATTCCAAATTGGCTGGAGCTTTTGACTCTGTCGAGGTTGATGAGGCCTTGCAGAGAGATCTGGATAAATCAGAGAGCTGAGTGATCCCTAATAATATGAAGTTTAACAAGAGCAAGTGCCAGATTCTGCACCTGGGAAGGGGCAACCCTGGTTATTTATAAAGAGTGGGGGATGAGAGGCTGGAGAGCAACCCCACAGAAAGGGATCTGGGGCTTTTGGTTGACAACAAGCTGAACATGAGCCAGCAGTGTGCCTTGGTGGCCAGGAGTGGCTGGGGTGCATCAAGCACGGCATCGCTAGCTGGCCAAGGGAGGGGATTGTCCCAGTCTGCTCTGCACTGGTGCAGCCTCACCTCAAGTGGTGTGTGCAGTTCTGGGCACCAGAGTATAAGGAAGAAAGACGTAAAACTGTTGGACAGTCTCCAAAGTAGGGCAATAAAGATGGAGAAGGGTCTAGCGGGGAAGACGTAGGAGAAGCAGTTGAAGTCGCTTGGATTGTTCAGCCTGGAGGTGACAGAGGGGAGGCCTCGTGGTGGCCTGCAGGTCCCTCACAGGGAGCGGAGGGGCAGGCGCTGAGCTCTGCTCTCTGGGGACAGCGACAGGACCCGAGGGGACTGCATGGAGCTGGGACAGGGTAGGGTCAGGCTGGATATCAGGAAAATGTTCTTCACAGAGAGGGTGGTTGGGCACTGGAACAGGCTCCCCTAGGAAGTAGCGACAGCACTGAACTTCCTGGAGTTCAAGAAGCATTTGGACAACGCTCTCATACACATAACCTGACTTTTTGGGTGGTCCTTTGGGGAGCCAGGAGTTTGTCATAATGATGCTTGTGGGTCCCTTCCAACTCGGGATATTCTGTGACTCTATGAATATCCAACCATGAGCCCTGGTCACTTCCCTATTTAAGGGGTATGCATGTTCTTCCTTTTCTTTATTATTATTATTATTATTATTATTTTTTTTTGGTTGTGGGAGCTGGGGAATAAATACATCAGCAGTTACCAGCTGTTCAGGAGCACCTGCCAGAGTGGGATGGCAAATCTGTGAGAATGATGGGCTTGGTGGAGCTCAGTATGAGGAAATGCAGTGAGGGGTCAGTGATATAGAGTTGTCTGAGCTGATTTTCCCGGGTAATAGATTTTATTTTTAACTACACATAGGCCTGTGTGACCCATTACATTGAATAACTGCACTGTTCCTCTCACTGGTTCCTTTAATAACAACCTTCTGCTCCAGCTAGTGTGAAGGTCAGCTCCAATTTCTTTAGGTTCGCCTTCTCATTTAAGTGAGAATTTGCTAACTAGCATCCAAAATACCTTCTCAATCCTTCTTTGCCTCTTGTCATTTGCAGGGTGAGTTTCAGAGTCTTGCTAGGGAAAGCACCACAGTCTCTGAGGGGCTGACCCAGAAGTAGCTGACAGATCAGGTCTGGTTCCAGAGGCACATCTGCAATTGTTCTGAAATAGCCAAATTGCCATGACCAAGCATGTATACGTTTGTTTTGCCTCTTTCACAGGGATTCATTTCATGACATGCCACCTCCTCTGCTAGAAATGTGCTTCCTTGATGAGATTTTTAATTGTTAGCCATTAATTTTTGCTCATTATTAAGTGATTGTGTGAGTTAGGTACTTAGAGATATGAGAGAAATATATATACAACAAGACATACAGGGTGTTTTGTTGCATGCTGCTGACATTGCTTGTGCTGCTGTGCTGATGTGCATTAGCTGTTCCCCACTACACTTGGTATTTGTGTCATAGTTGCTGGGGGTTTATAGTATGTGTGAAGGGCAAGGGAAACCTTTGAGCCCCTTGGCATTTTCAAGCTGGAAACAGCAGCCATGTAGTTTCAGCTTCTTGCTCTCTTCATATCGCTTTTCCAGGTTCCCCACTATTCATCTGAACAGGAAAGGCTTCTTCCTCCCACCAGTGGTTCCTGGCTCTCCAGCAGCCAAGACTGTCCTACGGGAGCATGTCCCCTCTGCGTTTCCACGCCTGGCACAAAACATTTGATCCACACTCTTAGATTTCCCTCCTTCCTTCTCTGCAAATACAGGGACTTACGTGTCACCACAGAATTCCCTTTTTGACATGCATGTGATTCATGTGGCCAAGAGAATAGACTAATCAAAGATTTTTCTCTAAAGAAACCACAGAACCAGAGGTATAGCTTTGATTTCAGTCCAGAGCTTTAGAAACTGAGAGCTGGCATCTCTTGTGGGTCCTGTAAAGAGTGTTCCTCTGCAGGTTACTGGCCCTACATGCTTGTACTGCCTTCTGCCTTTTGGTGGCTGTTATCCCTGGAAAGGTGACTGGTGAGGAGCTTTTCAAGAGGTGCTGCAGTGATGGCACACCACAGTCCTCTGACAGCACAGGGCCTGGGCACTCAACAGATTAACAGGGTAAGACTTACAGGAGCACAGCCTGCCCCTGGGGCAGGGGCTGTGATGCTTCAGGTACTGCCCAGTCACTTTGATCCATGGCCTGCAGAACACTGTCTTTCACAGTGTTCTTGTGTCCCTTTGTATGCTTTTATCCAAGTTAAATGTTACTGGGTGGATGCTGCTGATGGACAGCAAAATGGGAAAATCACTGGTGGGATGGTCAAGCTTGGAGGCTGGTGGTTAGTGCCAAGCTCTAACTGTATGTGACACTGTAGCATATGTGCAGGGGTCTGTCCTCTTTAACACCTTTATCCATGAAGTAGAGGAGGTGGTGGAGATGGTTTCCAAGGCCAGACTGGATAAAGCCCTTAGCATCCTGGTCTGGCCTCACTGCTGACCTTGCTGTGAGCAGCATCAAGAGACCTACTGAAGCCTGTGACTCAATGTTTTGATTACAGCACTGCTGAAATACACCTCAGAATCAGGAATTCCAATATTCCAATATCTTCTGTCTAATATGATGAGCAGAGGGTGAGTCAGTAAGCTGTTAACAGTAGGTCCCTCTCTGGAAATCAGTTATGCTTGCAGTCCACACCGGTGTGATAGCTCTGCTCTAGACCTGAGACACTGCTAAAAAACAAAGCTGTAATTCACCGTCAGAGTCTGGAGGGAGCTGTACAGGCAGCTTCCTTGTCACGGGACAGTGCCTAATGTTTGCACAAGGACCCGGGGAAATTGGTCTCCACCCATCTTCTCCCACCAATGACCACAGTGACCTGGTGCAGCCCAGAGGTGCCTGCCACTGGCCCCACTGCTGCTGGTGTGTCTGCGGCTGAAATGCAAAAAGATTATACTCAAGTAACCAT